TCAGAAGGTTCCTTGAAGACCCATTTGTGACACTTATCAGAAGCAACCTTACCCATCAGCCTGTTCGAATCAAATCAATCAAACCATATTAAGGTTGAAGCCTGAGCTAGAGCTAGAGAGAAGATGAAGAAGAAGAAGAAGAAGAAGAAGAAGAAGAAGTGAAAAAAGCAAAAGTTGCAAAACAACTCCCCTCTTTCCCGTCCTAATTTCCCTTTGCTCCTCCTGCTCTTTACCTTTTCCAGACCAATGACAACAAAATAGAGGACACAAAGACTAGCACTAACTTGTACTGGCTAAAGAAACAAATTTGGGCAAAGGATTACACCACAGGCAAAATGAAGAGAAAGATAATAATTATAGTGTCCCTTTCTGTGAAAATAATAACAACACCTACCCAGTACCCACCCTTCTCCATAATTATACAGCTGAATGGACATCTTGCTGAAGGCCTTTCTCACTTGGTCTTCTCCATCGATATCATCCACTCTTGTCCTACAGAACCCATCCTCCCACATCAACATCCTGCAGGCCAAAGGAAGCAATCAAATAGAAGGGAATCAGACAAAACAAAAATAAAAAAAATTAAATTAAATTATTTTGCAAAAGAGCAACACGAGGTGGTGTGGAGTGAAGAACACGACTCACAGGTTGCCATTGTCGTCCCCAACCTTGCAGCCATTTCCTCCTCTACACCTCCTGCAGCAGCAAACCACACATCACAAAGAGTTCAAGAAATAGGAGTCGGGGGAAGGGGGAGCCAAGAGATGATGATGATGATGAATCGAAGAAGAGAGGACAGAGAGCGGAGGGGATACGGGCGAGGTCGGATGGTCCAGAAGACGGAGTAAGTCCAATCCGAGTTGAGGCAGACGTTCCTGAGGGCCTCGTGGAGAGCCAACATGCCCACGGCCTCCTTGCTTCTACTATCTCCTCCCACTCCTGAGCCCACCATCTCTTTCTTCCTTCTATCTCTATCTCTATCTCTATCTCTATCTCACTCTTTGTTTGATATATACTTATTTTTCCCTTTCACCCTCCTTGAACTTGCTCCGATGATGCTATCACACCTTCGATCAACAGTGCAACCAAACCCCACACCGAGGTTGGGTAAGTAAAGAGGAGTGGCAGGGCCCCTCGGCTTTCTTTCTCTCTGGTCTCTCTCCAACTCTCTCTTTGCAGCAGGAGGTCTCACATCCCCACCTCAGCTTTCCTACCTTTCCCAGTGGCCTGACCAAGTTTGTTAACAAAAGAGCAGAGAGAGAGAGAGAGAGTGAGGGATTTTGGAGCTGTTGGTGTCTGGCTATTACTTTTGGGAGGAGTAGAAAACAGTTCAACGTTGAGGAGGATACGGGTGAGCTTCTTTCCCTTGCTGCTTTGTCATGTGGCATGCTGGTCCTGTCTCTTTTAACCTCGGGTTACTTTTTAACTCCTATTACAGACCTACCCTCGAGCGCAGTTGACAACACTGTTGCTTGTTCAGGTGACGAGATGAGAGAGGGATGCCAACAGTTGCCCAGCTCACGCTCGCCATGAACCTGCATGCATGGTTCGTTCCCGCTCCACTTGGTCCACAAACCATGGCCATCCCGCAATCCAAGGAAACATGGATGGCGGACGGATCAAACTTCCACCGCCGCAGAGAATTCCAGCAGAACAGCTCGAATTACCCTGGTCATACAATCCGATACCAGATTCAGCCACCACAAATGATCAGATCTCCACCTTACAGCGCACGTGAGTAGACAGTAAAGAGGCAACAGGGAGACCATTGAATAGTCTCTCGGTAGCATCTTCGAACAAGAAATGCTGCCCACATTTTGCATTCTGCCAAACAATATGTCGACTGGTTGGCACATTTCCTCAAGGATCAAGGTGACTGCAGCTGGCAGAACCCCCCTCCCCCCAGTTAATCTTGTCGTCAGTCTCCTCTGCAAGAGGAACCAAAAGAAAAGAAATCTGCAAAAAAGAAGAAAGAGAACAAAATTGGCACTACCTAAGCAACCTTGGCTGTTGCAGCCTGCAGATGTCAGCTGTTACATTGAGCTCTGTTTCGGTGGTGGGGGGGAGGATGGTGTTAGTACGCGAAAGCAGGGGCAAATGTGCAGCTCAGGGTCGGCATCCACGGCGAGCCCCTGGCCGCAGGGCAGTATAATATCACGGGGACTCACGTGCGCACGTGCTGTGGCAGTGGGGCGGTGCCTCGTGAGGCATAAAGAAAGCAAAAGGGAGCAGAGAGAGAGAGAGGCTTAAGCTCTCATCACTCGCAGAAACAACACACAGTGGCCACCAAACTCTGGTGTGCGTGGCTCAAACCGAGACGGAGCAGTCAACCAAGGAAGAAGAAAGGGGAAGAGGGACGAAGGGAAAGCGAGGGCGCACGAATCGCGGGGCGCTGCGCCCTCTACACGCGACATCCTCAACCTAAACAACCCTCCTCGCTCCACCCCCCGCATTGACCGCCCACCTCTCTCTCTCTCTCTCTCTCTTCTTCCCTCTGCCCACGCTGATTCCGACTTCTTGTCCGTGTCTCTGGGCCCGGTCCCGGGCCCCACCTAATTATTGTTGACTGGCGGTCCGAATCCGATCCCCGTCAGATTCGCCGGGTTGGGTACGTATCCCGCATAGCTGGTACCCCGAAAAATACCCGTGAGCAAGGAGGAATCTTTTTTTGCCCCTTTCTTTAGTACTTCAGTTTATTTGTGATTTTAATGATATAATAACTTGACACAATTCTTTCTGTATTTTTCTCAGCCAAAGTTTAGTAATCTGTCAGCATAAATGAATTAACACCATCATTTTATGCCTGTTCATTCTGACACACTGGAGTGTAGAGTAAAGATAGTGTATGAGGTGAGGAGGACCATGAGAGACATGAGCTGAGAGATCAGATTTGGACCACTATATTCTTTTTTGTTTGTGATTCAAGCTGGATCATTAATTTTCATTGAAATGTATAACTTACCCTTTTTTTTCCCTCTTTCTTCCTTGCCTCCAAATAGGCTGTTTACAGAGGAGATGGACTTGATTTGTTCCTGTCAGGCTGGGAGAGGGGAGTCAGCAAGTCCTCTGCTACCAATCTACCAACAACACTCACCCAGTTGGCACTCCACACAAGCCTATATAAATGCTGAGATATGCTATCAAAGATATGCCAATCTCATAAATGCTAGGACAGGAGGGAGGATCCTAACATCATGGTAAAATCATTCTTTTATGGCCTTAAAAAAAGGATATTTTTTCTCTTTCCTCAAAATAATCTCTATGCTTGATAAGACTATAAGACATTCCTTGTATGTTACTAAATATATTCTTGAACACTTTGAAAAAGGAGATGATGCTAATATGATACATACAAACAATTGGTTGTGACCTATCAATGCATGCCACATATATATAATCGAGGAACATTAACTATGTAATAATACAAGTGACTTGGGATCAGCTCGAATAAAACTACTGGTTTTGCATAAACAGACCAATTCCAAAGGTATCCTCTGCATTATGGTATATTAAGCCATGCATGTCCACAAGTTGAGATACTTGTGTTGGGCTGTGTTTTTTTCCTTCAACCTATTAACCTAACATAATTGCATAAATACATAATACCTAAACATTATAAAGATTGGTTTTGTATTGTAAAAAAGAGTGATGAAGAGGGCCTTTCATGGGCATCAAAGACTGGTGTAGCTCCTTGAAAGTGGAGCCTGTCCATCATGCATGCTTTGTGAAGACCATGTGCCTAAACAAATGAGTTACCACTCAACCAATGGCACCATGAAAGCATAGTGATAATTAATGGTGAAAGAAGAAGATCCCTCAAGAGCTAAAGAACAGTTCAATGCACATAATAATGGCAGCCACTGTCACCTCTCCCACAGCTAGACTCCTCTAACTCAGCTTTTCAGAGATGTCCATTGTTTTCTACTCGTGACTTTTGGTTCAAAGAGAGATTGGAATCTTGTGCGTGTACTATGGTTGATATAGCTGTCATTTGAGAGGAGATCAAATTGGATATTTGAGCTAGTAGTAAGTACTATGGCACTTGTATTTATTTTAATTTTAATTTTCATGTCTGTGTTGGTTGTGGAGATCCATTCATTGTTGGCATGGCCACTGGGAAAGGCAATTGGAGATGAATTAGGTAATGGGGTGCTTAAAAAGACAGCCATCATCACCCTCTTCATGCAATTAAGTCATTGTGGATTAAACATGCTACACACATAAAACATGCATGCTTTTCGTTATCTACCAGGAGTGCATTAATGGATAAGCCGAAAACTCAATTGGAATGTTACTTGGATCCGAAATAATTAATATTTTCTAACCTGATATTTATTCCTGAGTGTATACGTTCAATTCTGAGATGTTGGCAAATAACATGAATTGCAATCCAAAAACAAGATTTAGATTCCACGTGGATCCTACACCAAACCACAAATGTAGTTAAAACAGGGAATATATATCGATCGATACATACAGAAATTACAGATTAAATTTGATTTGTAAATTTGCTTGTTTGTTACTATTCGGAGATAGATGCATGTAAAATATAGTTTTTAGTTGTCTCTACATCTTAATTGCTACACAAAAAAAGCCAAAACGAAACCTAAATTTTCTTATTACTCAATAAATATATATAAATGTACAGAAGAAATTAACTGGAGCCAGCCAGAAAAGTGAAATCATACCTCGTTGCATGATTCCGGGGAGATCGAACGGACCGCATTGTCTTTGACCGGGTGCAAACCAAGTCAACGGCGGCATCGGCTATTAACAAAACCAGGCCGGATATGCAGGCATGCAAACCCTACGCATACAAGTCTTTCAGAATTCCCTCCATCACCGTCCATCCATTCCCTCCTATGATCCCAGCCACTCATCGGTGTTCGAGTCAGACGGACGGACGGTCATTCATGCATAGAATCCGCGTTCAAATTCTAACGAGGGCCCCATAAAAAGAGGCGGAGTCGTCGACTCTTCCTCGGAAGACTTTTGTTTTTCTTTGGTGGGGGTGGTGGTGGTGGTAGGCGTTCCATCTCCTCCTCCGACGCTTCGTCTTCTTCTTGAAAGAGAAAAGAGAGAGAGAGAGAGAGAGATGGAGCATATGATGGGGCTTCTCAGGGTGCGGGTGGTGAGAGGGGTGAACCTTGCGTACCGCGATGCCCGAGGCAGCGACCCATACGTGGTCATGCGCATGGGCGGCCAGGTCTATCAGAACCCTTCTCCCCATGCCTGTCATCCCTGTGTTACATTCATTCCTTCATCTCAGATATCTCTGTAAGCTTTGGATGTTTCAGGACTAATATTCCTCCTATTGTCGAGGGCTTATTCCTAGAATTCCTTCTTTAGTTGCATGTCTAATTTTCTGTGATATGATGCCCACCAGATAGCATTAGAATCGGTACTAGTTTTCAAATACATGGTAGAATCATGAACAAGTCTTTTCATTGGACAAGATAATAATAGCCTCTTCATCTACATCCAACCTGATTTATATAATGTTAGAGATAAGTTTTTGATGGTGGGAAGTTTAAGGCCCCTATGTTCCATTTTTATAACGTTAGCTAAATTTCTTGTCCACATATTGATATTTAATCTCACATTATTCAATGATTTCTTGCTTTACCAAATGGTTATTTTTATCTATCATTTTGTTGGGCAGAAACTGAAGACCAGTGTCAAGAAACACAATGTTAATCCAGTTTGGAATGAGGATCTCACTCTTTCTGTTTCGGAGCCTCTCCGACCAATTAAACTTGTATGCGCCTGTCTTTGCTTATAGAATCTTTCTACTCTGCTAGCTAAACTCTATAGAGGACATGAAGAGTTTGCTTGCTATGAACAGATTAGGACCAAAAAAAAAAAATCCTAACATGTGTCTGCTTTAATGGATACACAAACAAAAACATAACCTACACATAATAAGATGCCATTTATTAATATAAATCTAGTGCTCAATGTTGCTTTGGGCAAACATTTTACTAATATACAGTCAGCTAAAAAGAAGCATGAAGGTTGATCGACTATTATCGATATCAGCTATGAGAAAATGGTAATCTTGATGAACTGCTTCTCATGATAATGCACTGAACAAGAAGCATGAACTCGAGTTTGAAAAAGTAGCAGCAAATTGACTACAATGAAATAATGCAATATAAAGTGTTAGCTACTATGATCAACTTCTTAAAGTAGTGCAAGAAACTAGTTAATGGCAAGAAGATGGCTTGTCTAGTCCTATTGCATAAATTAGATCAAAGTCAAAGAGCAAACCTTGAGATAATATCTGTGCCTCGTTGTAACTGCTGTTGATATGATCTTGTAGCAAGTTTATGACAAGGACACATTCAGCAGAGATGATAAGATGGGTGATGCCGAGATCGATATCCAGCCATTTGTGGAGGCAGTCAAAATGAACTTCTCTGGCCTCCCAAATGGTACCATAATCAAAACTTTGACTCCCAACAGGCAGAACTGCTTGGCTGAGGAGAGTGCCATTGTTTGGAAGGATGACATGATTGTGCAAGATGTTGTTCTCAGGCTCAGAAATGTGGAGAGCGGTGAACTGGAGCTGCAACTTAACTGGATTAACATACCTGGTGCATTAGGCTTGTAGGCTTTTATTTGTATACCCAGCAAGATGTGCAATTTACTCATGAAACCCCATATGCACACTGCACTTTTAACTCCATTTCCTACAGTTTTGTACCACTTAATACTGTTGCTGGAATGTAGTCTTATCAACATGCAGACTTGCCAAAGTGATAAATATGATGATCTCATGTATAATGAAAAATATTGACACCCAACTATCCATCAGGCAATGATTTCGTGTGCCCACAGAAGTCACCAGATGTGTAACACAGCTGCAATCCAAGAAATTACTGTGTAGACATGGGGATCTATAACCAATTTCATCCACCAGTAATTTCCTGATCTGAGGTAGCCATAATAGCCTTGATAAAATACAAGTTAGTCTCAAAGAGAGCTTCCATACAAATGATAACTGATACGCTTAGTGAAACTCTAGATGAATATGGTGTGATCACTAATATACACTGTCCAACAGAAAAACTCATAAATCATCACTGTTTCCAACAAAATTTCATCACTAAGTCGAGATATCTGATGAATTAATGCAGACTCTTCCAAAAATATTTACTTGAAGCGTCTAGCATCTAGTAGGGCCTCACCTTCAAATGACTCCTGGTCCTCAATCATGGCATTCACCCTCTCTTTCTGTGCTTCATCAGAAATGTCAACCTTGGTCCAGTCATACTACTCCATATCGTAGACCTTATCAAGCACAAACTTTGGAATCTCCAGTCCATGGAAAAGCCACAGCCCCTTCGCCTTGAAGGGTGGGTCAGAACCAATCACGAGCATCTTTCCAAATGCATATTTGCGAGCCAAGTCCATGCGCTGCAGGAAGCCGCTGACCTTGTTCAGGGTCACGAATTACAGTGTTCTCGTCATTGTACCTTGTAGTCACAGAACCAAAGAGAGTAACCCTCAGGATCATACATATCCCAGAAACCTGGAGTCATGCTCCATAATAAAAGGAGTCAGTAAAGCTACCCGAAATATAATGCAAAAACAAAAAGTGTTTTACTGCATTACAAGATAAAGCTAGAACATGGAATATGGTTCATACAACTATTAGAAATAGAATCAATAGAAAAGGTCATTGGTTCTCCTACCATTTATTAAATGTACAGAAAAAAAAAATAAACTTATTGCCACCCTTGAATAAAAAACAGTCATCACTGTTTATTAGTTCTTATAAAGTCTTCTTAGGCTTCTTCTATCACTTTGCACCGCATTAGTTCTTATCCATTATCAATTCTCACTAGAATCTACACCTCCGCTCTTAAATCCTCTACAAATGTTCTGTCATGAGTGCTACCTATATCACAAATAGGTTAAAAAGTACACTATTATAGACTTGTTAAAACCAAAATCCATCATATATTTAAGCATGTCTTGTTTCAAGAATTGCAATGAATTAGGTTTAGCAGATATTGCTACCTATATCATAAAAATAAATGAACAGTGAATTACCAATTAAGTAGCTAAAGACATCATACACATTAAAAAAATCAAAATCTATCATCAGTGATCATACTATCTAGTTCTCCTTCATTGTCAAATTCAATCAGCAACCCAATTCAATCACAACTTAACGATCATCAGAAAAACAAATTCAATCAGGATCCAAAGCTAGAAGAGATACCTTTGATGGCAAGCTCACAAAAGTTAGCTTTTGTATTCGAATAGAGCCTCTTCCACTCATCCAATATCATCTTACTAGGTGGCAATAGGTCTAGAGGATTTTTCGGATTGGGCTTGGGAGCCTCCTCTTCCTCTTCCACAACCTCCTGTACTTTGGGTTTCACAGCCTCCTGCTTTGGTTCTTTCTTGACTTCCTTTGGCTTAACTGCCTCTTTAGTTTGAGACTTATTTTGTGATGGAACAGATGGAACTGAGTCTGCCTGCTTGACCACGCCTCACCTTTCTGAAGTTTGGTTGATTAACCATAGTCCACAAATACCTTTCCACATGAGGGAACTCCGAGGTAAAACTCTTAAGCATGATCAGACTGAACCCAAGGTATAAATTGCATGTCATGATAATATCAACTAAAGTAACAGAATGGCCAACAAGAAACGTGTTCACAGCAAGATGAGGGTTCAGAACATGAAGTTTCCTCTTCAGACAAGATATTGCAGATTCCTCAGCCTAAAAGACAATTTCTACAACTTATATAATGCAATTACAAGTGTCACGCTCACAACAGCAAGGTAAGGCATATGGCCAAGTCATGGATAAAGCCAGCGGGAAGTATTTGCATCAACTTCCATCGAGGCAAAGTCAATTATTTGTTCAATGTGGGCCTGACAACAACATGAATTAACAATTAGGTAAACTGTAAGAGGAGGCCAAAAAAGATAAAGACAGCAAATAACTTACATAATCCATACGTGAACTGCCATAAAGAGGGTTATCAGCCTTCAAGTGAGTAACTGAAGAGACCAAAAGAGCAAAGAAGTACACATCACCTTTGTTATTGGTCAAATGGAAATTTGCACTTTTTAGTGGCATCAGTCATGTGAAAAACAAATCACAATTCTAGTGCATTAAAACTATTTAAATATGAATATTTAATGGAAGAATAATGTGTATGAAATACTCATAATCACTGATGGTGAACAAACCATAATAAATTAAAAACTTGAAAATAAAGTGGTTCTTTCACACCATAACGAGCTACAGCATTGCTCTAAAATATGGGACCATCAGGTGTTTCCAGTACAGGCACCTGAAACCAAAAGTAATTCCAGATTTTACAAAAGATATACAACTTACACAAGCTTGTACTATGGTATGAAAATAAAATAAACATTTGCATATAGAAACATTACCTACCTTTCCTATACGGTTCGTCTTGAGAAACTCGAAGTTTTATTCGAAACACCCATTTCAAAGTTCTTGGTTAACTCAACTTGGACCCCGCTGTAGTCTGCTGCAATGAGTGTCTTAAATGCATTCTTGTTTGTGTTGCCAGCATGCAGAACCTGAGGAACAAAAATCTGAAACATCATGCAGATGTAAAACCAAAAGATTTTACCAAAGAAGATGAATCTCTTTGGAGAGTTGTGCCAAAACATGGAAAAGTGCACAGTCTGCAGACACACGAACTGATAAGAACTATACAAAGAGAAAAAAAATAGAAACTTTATTTCATACTAAGACAACCTGGGCCCAAACAAACTAGGAAAATATAAGGAAGCCACACGAGACGTCAAAAGTAGAGGTTAATAGGGAAGTTGCTTCTAGGCTCCAAGAGATCTTTGTATTTGAATCTCAATATGCCTTGAGCCATTAATAGCTTTGATTGCTATTGGTGTTGCATAATCTAGCTGCAGATATCAAGGCGACAAGAAAACCACATAACATTAAATTCTCTTAAGTTTTACCAGTTACTTAGAATTAAAATAGCAGGAAAAAAGTTTGCTGATTAGCAATTTTTCTGAAAACCCTTTTTTCATGGCTCCCAACTGCATGGCCGAGGCCACTATTACCAACTAACATCAGCTTCCTGAACTATCATATAGACTAGCAACGCTTACCCAGTCCACCCGACCACTTGACCACCGAGTTCTCACGCCTTTCTTTCTTGGCTTAATGATAAAAAACAGCAAACCCTTAGTCCCAACTATACGAAGTCAACACGAATCCCCGACAACCCCTGTGAAACTACTATAGTTGAGCCAAACTCTTAAAAAGTCAAACAACAATTGACCCAAGCAAATGGTAATTTGTCACTATCTAATGTCAGATAAGTCGATTAATACTGTTATCCATTAACATACAGCATAAATGGCAAAAGTCAGCAAGCCTTAGTGGTTAGAACAACCAGTGGAGAAGCGACATGAGTGGATTTCTACAAGATCAACCGGACCCCCACAGGTACGGAAAAGGGATAGAATGTAGAAATAAATGTCCAGCGAGAACGACATTATAACTGCAAATAGAAGCAGGAGCATGTGGATCCAACAGCTAAATCTCTTTTTTGACCTAAATTGATATCATAACATAGATCCATCTGTTGCAAGCACATGTTAGATTACAATTACACAAGGATGGGAGCATATCAAAAGACAGCATGTTCCGATAAAGATCCAACAACACCAACACGGCCGAAAACCCAAAGATGACTTCTTATGTTCCGAACCCCAGATAACAATTGCGGACAAATCGAAACAAAAGTGACAGCATGACTGGTAATCCAATCACACTTTCAAATGAATAAAGAGACCTAACTCTCGGACGAAGAGGACCGATCAATAAAAGAAATACAACTACAGGAACGAAAATGGTTACATCGTTCCAAAAACTCACCAGCGCCATCGCATCCGTGACCCGCGACCGCCTCGATGCCGGATCTAATCGACACGAGATAATCAAGTCAAATCAATAATAAATCAGCGAATAGATCAAGAAAGAACGAAGCAAATGGGGAATCCGTCGTTGGAGAGTACACCAAGAAGGGGAAGAGAGGGCGAGAGCGGACGGGTGGCGTTGAGAAGCGAGTGAGGATTAACCGAGACCCGAAGTAACGGCAGCCCAAATGCTCTGTTTCTTGAATCCTACGGCTCAGATTATACCGATCGGGCCGCAGTCGGTAGGATTAACCGAGAGCGATAAGGGGTCGGACTCGGGTCATCTGGTTCGGGTTCGGGTTCGGTCAGCTTCCTCCAAAACAAGCTTTTTAATGTACATAACAAAAGTAATTGATTCACGTAATATTTCTATGCTCCAAGTCATTGAGCCGACTCTTAATTAATTACATGAAACAGGTTTTCCTTGATGAATTTTCCTTGGAACAATTACAAGGTGGACTGAAATATTCTGTAAGGGTTCATGCTGATATGACACAGCAAAGCAACTTCCATAATCAGAGAGAATTCTTCCTTTTCCTTGCGGTTTCAGCATGCTTCAACTTCCATTTAATCGATCTACATCCGGGAGTAACCTCTGTAATCTTCATATTGTTCCATGAACTCATCATTGAATTTCTTGAAACTGTCCATGATTGCCGGCATTTCTTCTTCTGCTGGCAAGATGGTTGTCCTTAGATGGAAAACCCTGTCAAGAACCAAAGGCTTGATTATTATAAGCTTCTTTGAGGTTTTGAGACCTTTGTTTCGTACAGGCTTTGCCTGTCTCAACTTCCACAAGAAAAAAGGAAATCAAATTCCTATTCCA